GCTGTCTTAGCTGTCCCTGAAAGCAGGAGGCAAAAAGAAAAAAAAAAAAGGTAGAGCTTCTACAGAAGGTAGTTCAATGTTGGATCAGACCAGGTGACATTACTGGCCATGAAGTGAAACTAGGAGGGGGGCTTGAAAGTGCCGTGGTGGGCAACCACACCTCAGGTCCATAGGGAGGGGTACCCCAGAAAGAAGTGGAACAAGAAAGACGAGGTGTTCAGACCAAAGGTGGGTCCTGCCGACCCTCGAATGAGCCTCTTTCAGAGAGTAAGTCCAGGCAAAGCCCATCTGTTCACGGGCCGGTCAGCCTCAAGGGACCAGTGTGAAAGTTCTGTTACTAAGAAGGTGGCAAGAAGCATATAACAAGAAAGTCCAGGCGTGGGTGAAAAAGCATCTGCCAGGAAGTGTTCCTGCAGAGCAGAGAAAAATGGTGCCCCAAAACATGCCAGTGATGTAAGACCTTTCAGTGAGGAAGCCATCTTTATCAAACAATCCAGAGAGAACAGTGTGAGGTCTGATGGGACATTGGAGAGGCCGTGGACAGACTGCTGCTGCTGCAGCGCGCTGCTTGGGCCGCACACCTCTGCTTCCTGCAGTGTGCCCTCTGCACGGCGGTAGGAAGGCGATTGTGTTCCAAAATAAATGAAATCTGCGTATGAGGGCAGACTCTGTAATCCTATATTTACAGCAGCACAATCTACAAAAGCAAACACATGGAGAAATCACAGATGCCCATCCAAAGAGGAGTAGATAAAGAAACTATGGTCCATCTGTCCATGGGATACTGGTCAGTCACTAAAAAGAATAAAATTCTACCTTTTGCAACCAAATGATCCCAACTAGAGGTCATTGTGCTCAGTGAAACAAGCCAGTCCCAAAAGGACAAATACCGTATGTTCTCTCTGATAGAAGGCAACCTTCATGCTGTACTTTCAGCACAGCTCTCTGCTAACATGCCAAGGGAAGCAGCAGGAGATGGCCCCAGTTCTTGGACCCCTGTGCCCATGTAGGAGACCTGGAGAAGGCTCCAGGCTGGCCTACATATTGCTGCTGCAGCTATTTGGGGAGTCACCCAGTGGATGGAAGATCTCTCTGTCTCTCCCTCTCTCTGTATAAATCTTCCTTTCAAATAAAAATAAATATTTAAAAATAACTTTTAAAAAATTGCATGGAATTATACTGTAGAAGCAGTATGTAGCATATGCTGTCTGCGAATGAGTAACTTGTGTTCAGGCTAAGAAGATAAGACTGACAAAATTAAAGAGTGATTCAGGATGCAAATGGGGTGGGTTATGTTACACAAATGCTCAATGATGTCTCCTTGGGTTGTTGTAAATCTAGTGATCTTTTCGTTGCATTCCTAGCAAGTTTGAGACCACATGGTACTTTAGCATTGCATCACATCATTCCCATATTCTGATAGTGTAGCTTATGTGAGTCTTTTCTTTGCAAAAGAGGAAAGACTGATTTCCAAGCCCTGTGACTCACAATCCCACACATGTCATTGGCTGCCAGTCCCAGGTGTTGGCAGGCACTGTAACTCCTGCTGGAATGTATTGCATGCTCATAGTTGAAGAGACCAAAGCTGAGGTACAATGGGTTAGTTACCTTGCCCTAAATCAGAAATAAGTACAAGACCAGGCTAGAACTAGACCTTGTGCAGGCTGGCTCAGAGCAGGTGCACAGCACAGTTGTTAGGTGTGGCTGAGCTCTGTAGTTAAGTCTCTCTGACTTGGGCTACTCCACTGGTAAATGACGGAAGCCACCGAGTGACTTTGTAAAGTTGCTGTCACAAGTAATAAGAACAGTACATCTTAAATCTGTGGCGCTCTCACCGCTGTTGCCACTCTGTCATTGCCACATCATTACACAGGCTCAACTCACAGAGGACCAAGGATTTTGCTTAGATTCCCGTAGAGAGAAATTGCTGTTGCGGTACCTTTACTAACTTTTGGACCTGGTAATGCATACTCTTGCTCAGACTGCACAATGCCCAGGCCTCCAAATAGCTTATGTTCTATTGAAAAGGACTGCTTGACAAGGCACAGCACGGGTAGTGCCACAGCGAGGCTGCAGGCTAGCGTAGCAAGCATTTCAGAGTATCCAGCGCACTTCACCCAGCTTGGAAAGGAAGACCTGTGACTCCATGCTCTCATATCTTCCTGTGTGTGCGGCTCTGCCACTCCTTGTACCGTGTGTGTGTGTGCGCGCACACACCTGTGTTACACACACACACACTGCCTGTCTGCATCTTCCTCAGCCTCCCTTTCTTTGCTCTCATCTTCTCCCACAGACTGTCCTTGACCAACACCAGAAATGAACTTGGTTTCTCTAATGCAGCAGGTAATTGGATTTTTCGTTATTGAATGCATCCCTTTAATGACTGTGCCTGCATCTGCCAATTTAGCTGCAAGTGCCTGACATTGATCTGGTGATATGACTTAAAATAAAGACTTGCAGCAAGGGTGAAAGGGACCAGTTGCCTGGCATCAGAAAGGCTTTTGCCTCTTCTTGCAATTTCCCTCAGAAAAATGTTTCATCCTTGAATGTCGTTTTTACAACACATGCTGCTGTAATAATTGGCCATAGAGCAGCAGACTGCCTCTTTTTAGAAAATAGAATGAGTGTTTCCCAGAAAGTGCCCTGGAGAAAACATTGAAAATTGAATCAAACTCACCCAGTAATCATCTGTTCCCTGATAACAGTTACTGCCGTGTGGACTGTTTCTGCAACAAGATAAATAACGCTGAAGAGAGTTAATTAAGTCTTTTACAAATCTGGTGAAACATAAAATGTTTATGTAAATATTTATTTACTTAACCTTGAGGGTTTTTTTATATAATATTGGACACCAGAATTGTTATTCTTGAAAGAAGAGCAAGAATTGTGAAGAGGTGGCAGCTGAGAGTCTTGTAAGTGGAAGAATAGCAGTTGTTTCCTCAAGGGAAGTCACGCTATGAAACACTGCTGATGCTTGAGAGTGAGTGAAGCTTGAATTTCCCCACTATGGGGCTGGAGCTGTGACCCAGTGCTGGAGCACTGTCTACTGCTGGAATCCCTTATGGGCACTGGTTTGAGTCCTGGGTGCTCTACTTCCAGTTCCGTTCTCTGCTAATGGTCTGGGAAAGTGGTGGAAGGTGGCCCAAGCCATTGTCCCTGCACCCACTGGACAGACTCAGCAACTCGTGGTTTCTGGCTTCGTCCTAGCCCAGCCAGTGTGGCTGTTCAGGGAATGAACAATGGGTGTGGAAGTTCTCTCTGTCAGTCTTTTACTCCATGTAACTCTGCCTTTCAAATAAGTGAGTCGATATTGTAATATTTTCTCTACTCTTGCCTTTATTGCTTTTAGTAACAATATAATTCACTTGATTCGTCTTTGATTTTTATTCTGTCTTCTTCACCTTGCTCATTTTGATAATTATCATGAATCATTTTTGATGGAAATGCAATCCATGCGTGTTACTCTAAGAAAACAAAACCTGGTAATTTTAGAGCTTCAGAAAGAAAGCAAATAGCTCAGAAAACCACCAGTGAACTAGCTCCCTTTCAAATAATGAAACAAGCATTTTTCCTCCTCAATATTTTATGATTAGGTACTTTCATGTTTATCAAGCATTTAACAAAGTGAACTCAGAGTGTATATTAAAGCCAGTTCTGATTTTGAAATCTGGCATCAACAGTGAAGCCATCACAAGTCGAACAGCGTGGGCCTTGAGTCGTAGATGGTAGAACTCCGTGGAGCAGTGCATGAGTCGTAGATGGTGGAACTCCGTGGAGCAGTGCATGAGTCGTAGATGGTAGTGGTCTGCAGTTCTCCATGGGGCAGTGCATCCGTGTTGGTTCTCACCAGCCAGGGGACTCTTGGGGACGCTGTCCTGGACATGATGCTGAGGTGGAGGGCAGAGAACTGGAAAGCAGTTCTTTCTGCTGTTGTGATGCCTCTTGGCAGGGTGCAGGAGATGTGGGCAGGCTTGAGAAAGTTACTGTCACATGTGATGTTGAGGTGCTAAGAACAAGAGAAAAAGAAAAGGTAGATAAGTGGATGGTGGAAATCCTACTGAAGGCATTGCAGGCTGCTCAGTTTCCTTCAGTATAGTGTTTCTTTCCTTTGAATTTGAGCACTTTCAATGAAAATCATAATTACTGAAATAATCTTTGTCTTCTTCTGAAGGAGCGGTAAGTTTTCTGGACAAAAGGAAAAGAGTGCTCATTTGCATACTCAAGCGCGGTTTTGGTTTCCTTTCTTTCTTTCTTTCTTTCTTTTTTTTTAAGATGGAGAAATCCCTGTGAGACTTTTTTAATGCTTTGATAATAGGTTGCCTATTTATGATAATTGGACATTTGCCCAAAACATTATTATGTCATGCAGCTAATGAGCAATTAACTTTGTTAATGGGTCATGAAAACCAAGCGTTTACATCCTAGTTTGTTTTATCATTTCTTCTTTCCACAAATATCTTGGTCCAGTATCTGAAGACCTTAGAAAGAAAAAATAATCAAGCTCTAAGCCTCATTGGATCTCACAGCTTGGGGGTGGGGGCACAGGTGCCTGACCCGAGGATGGGGCTGAGTGACCACACCGGGCAACCCAGGGTTGGAGCAGGAGCTGTCGTTGTTGAAGGAAACTAAAGCAATCTAGACCCAGCAGCAGTTATTTGGACTTTAGAGTCTCTGGTTTAGGCACACTTGTAAAGAATGATGGTATTTTATTTATTATATGTGTGTTATTTCTATAGTAAATGCTAATTCTCAAAAGTACTGTCTAATTAAAGATGACCTTAAGTGATGTTTGAAAAACCTGTGACTATCTGACATGCTGAGTGTCCTTAAATAGATTTGTTCAATAGTCCAAGTCAAATACAAGAGTGACATTTATGATTGAGTGTATTTCTTCTGACTCTTATCTCTTGATAGACCCTAATATGAAAGTACGTACACATTCAGTTCCCAGTAGCCTGTGTTTGCATCAAGTGCTGAGTAAACCCTTCTCCTGGCTTCAGGTCACGGATATGATGCTGCAGGACAAGCCCTACCCCGACTGGGGAAAATCCGCAAGAGCTTTCTGGAAGAAAGGAAACGTTAGGATTATTCTGTTCTGGTAGGACGTGGTTTTATTTGTTTATTTCTGCCCTGTCACCTTCACACAAGGACTCCTTGGGTAGGTAGATTGCTACCCAGAGAGGCTGTACTGGGGATGCTGCACACCTGCGGGCCCCTCTCCTGATGCTGGGATGCCTGCTTCTCTTCTGCCTCACTGTGGGTCATGCTTACAGGAGAGCTGCCTTGCTGACAGAGCGAAGCACTGAGTTTGACCAGAGGTAAGTGGGGCTTTGGCTCAACAAAAACAAGTGGCAGGTTTCATCGGTGAAGTGTGATGGAGGAAGGATGTCTCGTCCCAACTCTAGCCTGCCTTCTCTGCTCAACAAGGTGGGATTCTGAGCTGAAGGTGCAGCTGAGGAGGAGCCGCCTCCGATTCCCCTTGGCCCCGGGCTGCTGCTTTGCTCAGGTGCCTTAAAGACTCCCGCCCGGTGAGTGCGATGCAGCAGCTGCCCAGGTCTCCAGGGGCCAGCCCTCGCAGTGGCCCCGATTTCTGTGCGTGTGCACAAGTTTAGGCGGCAGACAGCAGGACACTTGCATGTAGCCTCCATAGGCACACGGCCTCCTCTGGGAAGCTGTCATTGATGAGAGCTGAATTCAGGCCCCTCTGCAGTGCAGGAGGGAAATCTGCTTACCCCTCATTTTAATTCTGGGTTGTTTTTTTATGAAAAAGCTACAGAAGTTTGGGAAACTAAGTAGTTGGAGGGAAATACACTGGGTTATCTCTTGTGCTTTAGCAGTCATTAAGTGCTGCTAGATATACATGACTTCTGAACTCAGTTTTTAGCAGGTGAGCCAAAGTGGATTTCTGAATAATGTGAAAGCTGTAGGTGTTAATTTGCACTTCTTTCTAGGGGTCAAGTGTGACAATGTGTTTTTATGGCGTTGCTTCACTTCCATGTTTTGTGCTGTCTGTGAGCTCCCTTGCAGTTCAAATGAATAACATACAACACAGTAACTGTAGCACACATGTGTTTAGGTTGGCTTTGCTCCAGGGCCCTTCTACAGAGACCTTCACATGGTTTTTAAGAACCTCAGCGTGAAAGGAGACAGACTCTGAGAGAGAAGGCATTTGCAGACTGTCTCTTAGGGTGATGTCCGCCGACTGACTGTCGTTATAGTAGCCCTGGGTTCTGGGTCACCTGCTGGTGAGCATTCCCTGTAATCACGTTAGGGGTCACACCTGCAGGTATTGTCTCAGCCGCTCTGCATCACAGCTGCTTTCCCATGACAGAGGAAGCCGCCTGGTCTTCCCTGAACCATCTCAGCATGTTGTTCTGGAATGAATGAACTTCCCAGCTCTGAGCGTTGCTCTTCTGTCTTCTGCAGTCGGCCTATTTTGGGCATATGTTATAGCACGGTCGCTGTGAGTAATCTACAGCATACATTTTTAAGTGCAGAACTACGATTTTATCTTTCTATTATTTTTAAAAAATTTTAAGAGCAAAAGGAATAGAGAGAGCTCTTGCATCTGCTGACTTGCTCTCTGAATGCTGGGCGGGCTGCACACAGGAGCCAGGAGCACCACAGGCCTGGGCCGTCACCTGTCTCCGGGACGTGCTTCCCCAGGGAGTCAGGTGGGAAGCAGGGTAAGTGGAGGCAGAGCAGCTGCTGCAATGGGGGTGGATGTCTCAAGCAGTGCTTTTACTGCCGTGCCGTGGCACTTACCCCTAACAAATGGGGGAAAGTGGAAGAGTAATGCAGTGTTTCACTGATTGATTATAGTTTTAAAGGAGGAACAAATAACATCTACATGTATTCTTATAATTATGTTTTCAGTAAAATTAAGAATGAGGTAACTGAGAGATTTTCATTTTATTATTTAAAAATAGAATTAAGAATTTAACTGAAAAGCTTAAATGCCAGTTTAAAATACTTTTTTCAGTTATTCATTTCTGTACAGTTAGATTATCTTGGCACAATATTCATGATTTTAAAAGGAGAAATTCTGGACCCAGCAGAGTAGCCTAGCGGCTAAAGTCCTCACCTTGCACACACTAGGATCCCATATGGGCGCCGGTTCTAATCCCAGCAGTTCCACTTCTCATTTAGCTCCCTGTTTGTGGCCTGGGAAAGCAGTCAAGGATGCCCCAAAGCCTTGGGACCCTGCTCCCACATGGGAGACCCAGAAGAGGCTCTGGGCTCCTGGCTTTAAATCAGCGCAGCTCCGGCTGTTGCAGTGGCTTGGGGATTGAAGCATCAGACGGAAGACCTTCTTCTCTGTCTCTCCTCCTCTCTGTATATCTGTCTTTCCAATAAAAATAAATAAATCTTTCTTTTAAAAAGAAGAAGAGAAAATTGGATGCAAAAAGTTGAGTGTGGAAATTATGTGGGTAATAAATATTCTTTTCTATTCAGACTTTTCAGATAAAAGAGATTTAGCAAGCATAAAGGGCATTTGTTTCTCTTTGTAGCCCAAGGAGATAAAATACAGAAATTATCAACCAGGTTTTAGATGGGACAAAAGGCAGTGTTTACATGCTGTGTGTCACCCCCTTGGAACGAGTGTTTCCTTTAGATTTGCTCTAGTTAAGGGAAGAGATTAGTGTGAGCCATCTGTGGCAGAAATTCAGAGAACAGTTCTTTTTGAGTTGCATGCGCTGTGGTTCAGTTCGAGCAGTAAGCAGTTGGTTCAGGCACTTTCCTGAAGCTGCTTGAGGTTGCTTCAGCTTCCCTGTGCCTGGTCACTGTGTGCTGTGTCCTAGGACCCGTACTTCCCCTGAGTGCCCGGAGCATGCTCTCAGGGACTCCAGGCTTCTGTACCATGAGCAGAGCAAGTTGTGGTTGTCTTTGAAAATACTGAACTGGAAGGAGGGACATTCGTTGGCCACTTTCAGAGTCCTTCCGCCCTCCACTAGACAGTGTACATGAGTGGGAATGCCAGGCTCCAGTGCCCAGCTGTCTTTGGGCTTGAAAGGGAGCTTCTGACAGCCATGCCCACTAGCTTGTACGGGAAGTAAGAGGAACGACCCACATAAGGCAAGGATGCTCATGAGAGCTGCTGGCTCACACTTGTTTCCCCTTGCAGACACATCTGTTTGCTTGTGCTGGGGAACTTCTTGTATCTCTCCTGAAGCTTTATCGCCATAGTTGCTGCTGTAAGAGGAGACGCTGCTCTGGGCTTACGGAGGAAATGGCACAGCAGAGTTCGGGGGATCTGCTGACCCCCAGACTCCACGCTTTGGCCCCTCTGCGCTCAGTGCAGTGTGGGTCAGTGGCCTGTGATGCACCTGAATACAAACATGGAATAGCCAGGGGAGAGTCCCAGAAGGACTTGTGCCTAGCTTTTGCCTAGCTGGAGCCCGTTTGGGGCTGTTTATTCAAGAGTGACCAGGAGAAGCCCAGCTTCCTCACCAGCTCAGGGCACTGCCAGGCTGCTGAGAATGTAACGTTGGCAGTGGCACTCCCGAGGCCTGTGGGATTTGTTAAATTCTAGTGCATGGCCTGGCCCAGCCCGGAACAGGTCCCCAGAGCGGAAGGCTCACGTTTGTGTCTTCCAGGCAGAACAGCAAGCAGCAAGGGCACGGAGAATGGATATTCAGACGGTGACCGTGCGGTCACATGGTCTAGTGGCAAGCCCTGGCAGAAACAGCGTCCTGCGCTCCTCTGTGAGCTGTGTGCACTTCTTTTCCATATGGTTTGCGTTTTATTTTCCTTTTGGAGTTGGTGATGTCTCATATCTTGAAAAATACCTTGTCTAGGACTGCAACAATTTAGGTGGGCATCTCTTGACTTTGATGGTCTGAATTCCCCTTTTAAACAGTCATTTTTTATCTGAAAAGCTGAGGGAGTCTCATGATGAGGGAAAGCGAGAGAGAAATCTTCCATCCACTGTTCACTCCCCAAATGGCCTCAAGGCCCGGGACTGGGCTGGGCCAAGGTCAGGAGCTAGGGGCTGCATCTGGGGGCGCTCAAGTATTTGGGCCGTATGCTGCTGCTCTCCCAGGCCCTTTAGTAGGGAGCTGGATTGGAAGTGGAGCAGTCGGGACTGAAACCAACACCTACATGGTATCCCGGAATGTAGGTGACAGCTTAATTCACTACACCACAGTGACAGCGCTAGATATTGTTACCTAGGAAATAAGACTGTTGGTGTTTCTCCAGGTCTGAGTGTCCTAGTTATTAAAGTCTAACTTAAGAAATTTCTTTATTTAACACTCACTATACCAGAGTAAAGCAAGATATTATTATTGTCATTAAATATGGTATGGGAAAATAGCATGCTAATAATAACAATAAAACAAATAAACATGACCTCAGGGGCCTGGCTCCATAGCATAGAAATCTAAATCTTTGCCTGCAATATCAACAGCCTGTGTGGGTGCTGATACGTGTCCCAGCTGCTCCATTTCCCATCGTGCTCCCTGCTGTGGCCTGGGAACACAGCGGAGGATGGCTCAAGTCCTTGGGCCCTGCACCTTTGGACTGGTCCAGCTCTGGCCATTGGAGCCATTTCACGAATGAACCAGCAGACGAAAAGATCTTTCTCTCTCTCTCTGCTTCTTTCAGCAACTCTGCCTTTCAAATAAAAATAAAACAAGTCAAAAAAAAGAGAGAGAGAGAGACTCAGAATCTCAGAATGAGAGGCCCTGTGAGGGTTTTAGCGCCAGCTCTGCCATTGCCCGTAACTGGACAGCTGCCTTGGGTTTCCACTTAGCTCTTCATTCCTTACCCTCTTCCATCCCCACCCCGCCCTCCTCTGCTTGCAAGAGAGACGAGTTTTGTTCTTCCCTGCAATTGCTTTTTAGCCCTCTTTGAGCTCAATGAAGCTGTTTTCTGTTCTAAGGCTAGACTTTGGACGAGGAAAGCATTCTCTCCTGCTTTGCTCCAGAGGGCAAAATATGGACCGATGTGTGTAGTCGCCAGGAGGCAGATGTGAGCTAATCCCCTGTAATCTGAGCCTCTTCATGCTGAGTGAGCCTGCCCGGCGGCATCTTGCATTCCCAGTCAGTACAAGTGTTTCTGGGAGGCTGGCTAACAATCCGGTGGGCATGCTACTGA